TTTTTTTTTTTTTTTTTTTTTTTTTTTTTTTTTTTTTTTTTTTTTTTTTTTTTTTTCATTGAGGTCTTTGGGTTGACTTTTCAATACTTTTCTTACCGATTTCCTTCGACTATTGTCGGGTTTTTTTATTTTTTTTTTATCTTTTGTTTTGTTGGTACCGAAATGGACAAGCTTACGCTTGAATCCACAGACCAATTGATCAAATCCGATTGATCGGCTTTTGCTGTAAATTCAAGGCAGATATTAGTGACAAAAGATTTTTTAAATATCCGTTGTTTAACCATCCTAATGTTGAATTGGCATTTGGAAATTGTTCGTTTATAAAGTTGGAATACTTGAACTTTTTATTGCACTTGGCTTCACTCGAGTTATACGTGTTGCTCAGAAAAATTAATAATCCTAAAGTGACAATGAAATTTAAGGAATGAGAGTACACATTGATCGCAAACTCGCCAGTCACTAGTGCCCTGTTTAGAAGTTCTTTTACATTTATTGATTCTTTATAAATACCATTATTAAACTACTAGTAATTTCAAAATTTTTGGACAACCCTTTATTATGAACGAAAAAAGATGTCTACGTATTCTAAAAATTTAATCTGTAAAATGATTACTCATTATGTAGGTATACAAATTTTTTACTGAAAAATCAATGGAATTAATTCGCTTCACTGAATCTTGAGTGAACTTTCACTGACCCATCAATTAAATCTAGATTTCTTTCTGAATTCTTGAGAGACTATTTACTACTTCTTTGCATCAAACGGCTGTATTTTAAATTACAAAAGTACCCAACCACCAACTTGAATTTGAAAATGTTTTTGCCAGAAAATCAACTTCAAAGGCATCGATTACCAATAGTTTCTTTTGGTTCAAAGCTTTGCCCACATCCTCGCAATTCTCTATTCATACCTATGCACTTAAACGCGTATATCCAAACAGAAAAAAAAAAGTGTAAAAATCGTGCCAAATATTCTTGAAATGATTTTAGTTATCGTTTTACCGTTCACTAGGTCAATTCTTTGAAATGACATCCGGAACGCGGTACATTTTATTTTACGCAAAATAAAAAAATAAATCGACAGCGTGTAATATAATGACATATTACACAAGAAAATTTTATGTGCATTCGTAAGATCTAGAATATTATAGTCTCTTATTTACGCTGCTTTATACAAGACTCTAAAAAATATTTTTCAACAAACAACACGCAAGGGTGCCCTGAGGAAAATCCAGCGCAGCAGCTTTTTTTCACCCAAAATCCCTTACCCAATTTTTCCGTTCCCACATCCAAAAAACAAAAAAACTATCAGCCAAGGCACAAAGCCGATGCAAATTCCAAGTCGAAAATAAATTCACGATAGAACGGCCGACTAGGAAATCTCTCCGAGCCCCTGTGCCGAGAAAATCTATGCAACGTCACGCACTTCCCTTTTGGGTAGGGGGAAAAAAATCGAGCCTACCGGAGCTCGAGCGCGAGGCACAAAGAAGCTTTTATCGGCGCCCGCACGATGTGTTGTTGTTGCTGCGTTTAAGAAAGGAAAAAAAATGAAAAAGGAAAACTGGGGATGAAAGGAGGTGAAAAACCAATATGCAAATGGAAACGCCTCGAAAACATATAATACTCGTACTGTGGCTGACCTACATTGATTCGCGGTCCAGTCTACGGGAGATACCTTACCTTTTTGTACGTCATACCACTTTGGAAGAGCGATAAGTCGCACCGAGAGGCAAAGCTGGATCGCGAGCAGGATATTAGGGGAATTACCTGGGGAGAGTCTTGTGTCGTGGAGTAATAAATGCGGTCTTTGACGGATTTTTGACGTCGTGGTCATGCAAAACATCGAGTTATCTTGCTGTGCATTCGAGGAAGAAGATATGGAGGTTTCTTGTGAATTATGCAGTTTTTGATACATCCCCAGTTATTTTTTCGTTGGAAATTGAGATGTATTGTTTTGGTGGTGTATTGATCCTTTTTTATTTTACAAGGCTACGGTAGTACCATGAAAAATCTTGTAAAAAAAAAATAACGCTGTATTTACGTCCATGTTATATGTAAATTAAATTGTGCGAAAATCTTGTTCAAAGCTCGATGCATACGCCACAACATAAAAATTCACGATTTTGCGTAGGGCGTGTTTGTACGGTTCCAGGAATTCGTTGAAAATCAAACATTTCCACGAAAACTTCAGAGCATAGAAATTCTGCGAAATTTAGTCTGTGTAAACTGCGAGCTGGTACGTTTGGAAAAAAATGACATGGAAAACATTCATACATAAGATGGAAAATTTTCTGTTTGTATTTTCTATCGAAATAAACTGAAAATATTTTGCGTTACGTTGTGTAAAAAAAGCCAATAAAATAACTAGTTGACACTATTACATGAAATATATATTTTTTTTTTTTTCATGTTTCGATTGCAGAAGTGTTGAAGGTAATCTTCACACAAAGGTTGCCGAGTTACAAGAAGAAATTTCAATAAAACGTTACGATCTGGGAGTTGCGCAATTACATTTGGCTGCTGTACAAGCTCAGGTGAGTTTTTATTATTTCTTTTTTTTTCTATTTATAAACATGCGTATTTTTATTCTATTTTATTTATCTTTATGGTTGATTGACTTACATATGAATCAAATCCCGCCAAGTATAGCTTAGTTGTTGAACTCGTCAAGAATATTTGTTATGTAAATTATTAAACTAAGAATACAATCACGCAATTCAATAAAAAAAAAATTTTTTTAATGGCTAAATAACAAGTAGTAGGTACTGTATCTGAGTCTAAAGTATTAAATTCAAATACTGAATTATATATCAATTGTTTCAATCCGATAAAACTGTCTTCGATGATTTATAGAACATTTTTATTTAATAAATTTTTTAATTTATTTTTAGATCTAATGTCATAACTGAACTATTTTTTCACACCTTTTCTTACGTGAACAACGTGAATGTAAAAAGAGTATTTCTCAAGGGAGTTTGCAAAACTGTAGTATTCAATTTGAATTTCAAAACCTTGGATGCTCTGACACGTATCTAAGGCTTCTACAAATTATGCATGAACATTTTCATCGAGACATAAGATATCTCATGAATTCTATTTTTGTCGCTTGATCATAAAATCTAATACTTTTTTTCTTAATCTCATGATTATATAAGCAGGTTTTCTTAGTTCAAAGCTAAAAAATGAAAAAATTCCTTAAAATGTCCAAAAAGTTTGTAAAAAAAGAACTAGTTGATAGTCGAAATCAATTTAATTTATTATCAGACTGACAGCATTGGCATTCATGAAGAAAATTTTTTGATTTTCAAAGAATAAAGCTTTTCTCGTAGGGCATTCAATCAATGAACGTAAATCAGCTTTATTTGGAAAAGGAAGAAAAAATAAAATCTTATAAATCTCTTGATCACGTTTCAATGCAAACCAAGTTATTACAAGCAGGAGGTGCAGTAATGCATTTTTAATATCTTATTTCCTTCTGACACGGCGAACTCTATAAATAATATCCAATTTATATACACAAGAAAATAGACGCACATAAATACAAATCCACTGAATGGAATCGTCCCTGTGACACAGTAACTCGTTTTATCTTTGATCTTAGATGTGACGCGTCCATACGCTTTCGACGCGAGACTTTAGTCAGTTGTATCCCAGTGGCAAGAGTAATTACTTTCGAAGGGTGAAACAATTTTAACAACACAGGAGTTCAGGTGTCCCTTTAGCCTTTTCCCTCAGTTTACTGCTGATCGGATACCTAAACGTGAAGCCCCATCAAGCCTCGCGATCGGGCACGCCTCTCTCTCGTTATACACCTCTTCGTTCTCCCACAGCTTACAGTAAAGCTCTATTTATGTTGTCATTTGCTGGAGAACGCGTTGTGCCTAATTATAGCGCGACACCATCCAAGTATCTCACTTCTTGTTCGGAGCTTTGTTCAAACATCCAAATGAATATTTTTCAGCTCATCGCTTTTTCAACGTTTACGAAATGAACAAAAGTAATGTCAAGTAAAGTTGTGATAATGTTGCAACGTCTTAAAAACTGGGTTGCTATGAGTTTAACACTGTTGCTTTTGTGCTGTACACAAATATTACAGAAATTAATGTGAGGAAACCTAATTTTGTGGGACTGATGCTTTATTGTAGCAACGTTTCAAAAACAAACAAAAGTTACTTGAATATTGTATCGTTGCTTTCTCGCGATGTAGCAATTTTACACAAACGAACGTGAGGCACTTTTGGTACGTGCGGTTGCGCTTTAAAATTTAATTTTGCAGCAACGAGTAGCATCCCAATGTAGGTACTTAATTTTAAAGTAAACAGTGACACGAAGAACAACTTACTGGAATTTTCACTGTTAAAGCAATGGTAAAGTTAGAACCGGTTCATTTTGTTCATCAAGAACAATTTCGACCGTAGCTTCACGGGTATTTTTCGGTAGAGTAAATTTTGTTTTAATTAACTACACTTTTGACTGTTAAACTATGTCAACTTCTACTCTGTTGGAGGAGAAAGGTGACATCGATGGAAGTTGATAATACAGAAATGAGCATTTTCGAATAAAAATTTGGTGTTGAAACAAATGAGTTTGAGATAGTTGCACTGTAGAATACAAAATAGGGCTGTTTGCACAAAGTGATAGTGTACATCTGTAACATCTCTATAATTTGTCATTGACAAAGCCGTGCTTCGGGACACGATTAGGTGCATTGATGGCAAGGCTGATCTATTTTGACATATAGAAGACCACCCAGCAACCCTGGAATTATTCCCTCTCCCCAGCGATGCCTAGTCAGTGTTATACTGCGTATCGAATATTGAAACAAGTGTTCAACTGAGTCTTGAACTGAGTCTTAAGTGACCTCCAATTGTGACAAGTCCCAAAATAAGTTTGTAACCAAATCCTTGTAAGAGTCTCAATACGAATTTCGGATCAAACAGCTTTCAAACGTGTTTTAAAAACTAGTCTCAAAACAATTACTAAAACAAATCAGCCAAGTGCGAGCTACGTATGTGTTAAATACTGTTACGTGCGTACACCCAGTACCAACAAAACGTATTGATTAAGAATCACTCGAATACATAATAATTCGCTGCTGAATGCATATTCAATGTTTGTGGTAAACCATAATTAGCACCTATATAATACACCTATGTCTTCTGACTGCCGTCGATAAGCAACGATTAACCTGATTTTAGAATCACATAATCAGTAGTTTATTGTTGACTGAGTATATTCCGCATGATGAACCATCAGATATTGCGTAAAAATCAATATTGATTATCTGTAATCTGGGATACTGCTTGTGGAGTGCGAAGAGCAACAAAGACAACTAATGTGAGGTCGCCTTGCATCTAAAGTTAAATTGACGTTTTCATTTGACTTGACTGAAATAATTTTCGGGAATGGAATTTTGTAAAAGTTTATTACTTAAATACTATATATTAAATCATAGTAAGACTCCTGCTGTTTGATAATATTAACCTTGTTTTAAATAAAATTTTTTTTAAATTAATAACTAGACAATTCTAATTATTGCAGTAAAATTTTTAACAGATNGAGCTTGTTTCAATAGCTTAACAATTTTGTAAGAAAATAATTAAGTAAATTGTTTACAAATAGTAATACACACAATTAATTAGAAATAAATAACTGAATATGTAGGAAATTAATTCTAATTTAAAAGAAAAATAGTTGTACCAGTATATTACTCCCGAAATTGAGGGAAATTAATCTAAAACATAAAGACATTGATCAGCCTTAGTCACCAGAATAAATTGTTCAATCCCAGAAATCACGTTATTGTATGCGCAATAATCGACCACATAGAGATGCTCTAATCCACACATAGACGTCAAGAGATGTCATATGTATGCAAATTAACACATAATGGGCAATTCATCTAATACATTATAGCCTTAATGTGTATGAATCTTGTTCCTGACTGTTCAGTGTTATTTTGAGACAGGCAGCTATAAAGCAATCAGAAGTACATACATATAGCCAATTTAAACTCACTCTAAAATTTCTACGAATTTGAGAATACACTTACTAGTTTTCGTATCTGGTAGCGCATTGTTGCCTGGGGTAAATGCCTGGCCCGAGGAACTCTTTGTGCTCATCCAAAGACAAAGACGCCAAAATCAGGAGAATTATTTTCCTTTTCGTATAACTAATGCAATGTACAATACACGTAGAATCTTTATTAGTAATATTTCAAACAAATGGAAACAAATTTTGGTCAAAAGTAACGCAAATGAAATGAAAATGAGCAACGATGGCCATCACTATTAGGGTGGAAAAGTACCATTGTCTGTCTATGGGGGCAAAGTGCAGCCATGCATAGACTGTACCCCCATGATAAGGAATAATAGCTTTCGCGCCTTGTGGCAACTACTGTCTGAGCAAGTACCAGGCGCGAGGGACCCCTTGTGCTTGTCCTAGTTGGATGGGCACCAGGAGCGAACCGTATTTTTTCTTACCAAAGATACAATAAACGTCCAAACATGAAAAAAATCGCTCGAAATGAAAAAATTCCTGTTATTTTTTTTATTTTTTTTTTTTTACACAATTTTTATACTAATTAATAAGGTTACACACTTGTTCCAATAAATTTACAATAAGTGGTTAAAAAAATTCACCACAAATTTCGCAAAAGTTCATAAGCTGACAAAAAAGAAAAAAAAATTGCATTTCATAGTAAGTTTTACAAAGCTAAACACGATGAATGGTATTATCAACGAACCATCTTATCGATCAGTTATTCACGAGCTCACAATTCTAAATTTTATATCATCGATCCAAAGAGAAAAAAATTAAAAAAAAGTTGATCACAACAAAAAGTCGCGATAAATCGTTGCAATCGCTTACCGATCCGCCCACCCCCCAATAACCCAAAAATCAATTTACCGCCCCTGCGATCCACTTATCTCGCCACTTCTAAGGGAATTCCTCGCACCCGATTCAAAAGGTAAAGTTACACCTACGCCCACCCAACCCCGCAAAATAACATCAACAACGACCGCGAGAAGCGCATGCGCTTGCACATGCACCTGCAGGCAGCCCCTGTTTTCCGCAGTCCTACGAATTAAAAAAGCTCCCTTCGTACACCTCATATTCTGCTCGTACACCGCAAGATGCACTTGACCCCTGAATCTCCTTCCCCTCGATCAGTTAAGACCCCTTCGGCAGTGTTTCAAATTAGAGGAAAAATAGATGACGACAAGCTTTGACAATTAACGCCATCAGGAACGGCGCGAGGGTATTTGTTCAAATTACCAAACGCGAGAGGGAGGTGGAGGATCTCGAGGTGGGCAGATAAATATAAACGGGCCACTTGTAAATGCAACGGAGGGGCGAAACGTCAGGTGAGCCAAGGGGGAAGGAGAACGGGATGGGTGTGTGTATTATATATGGTCACGTGCGCGGGGTAGGAACATGCGCCCTTGCAACTGGGTCAGATGAGAGCGGCCGAACGGTTTAGCGAGAGAGAAAGAGAGAGAGGGTGCATAGAGAAAATCCATCCTGTGGACGGAGCAGGCCAACCCTAGTTGGGACGCAAAGCTCGCTGAGAGATAAAGTGCACCGGAGCATACTTCAGCTGGCAACATGGGCTGGACGTCTATTCGCGGCCGCGTAGTTAGTATTTTCCTTGTTTTTAATACCATCACCATAGTCATTTTCATCTTTGAATGTTTTTCCACGATTTATCCTTGCATCCTGTGTTCGTATATGACTGTTGCGACTAGCATGTGGGGCTCGGAAAACGCGTTCACGTGGGAAAGGAGGGGGGGGAGGGATAGTGCTGCAGTTGCATGTAACAAAGTTTGGGTTGAGGTTAGAGGGATATAATGAGGGATCCACAAGTACGGGGCAAGGACGAGCGAGCAATGGTTTTCTTGGCTCGCATGTCCGATCAATTATGCACAGGGAACGGAGATTGTTTGCGCTTTAACGTTTAGACGACGTGCTCTTGCGTATAAAAAATTGTCCTACGCGTGCACTGGTTTAGTAAAGTGGAACAATCTTAATTTTTAAGAGTATGAAAGATTTTTTGATAGCAGGGATGAATTTTATAAGGATTATTAAAAAAAGTCATTCGATGCCATTGAGTGAGTTGAAAATAAATATGTTGCTATGAACCGAGCAATGTATTGTTTCATGAGGTGGCTCGATTCCAATCGTTGAAACAAAACGAATTATATAACCACGTGACGCAAGTGGTTACATCCGTACTAGTTGATGCTTTTAGCTTGATAATATTTATACTTTTATAATGGGAAAAAATAATATCTTACGTTAAATTGAAAAACACACCCACGTACACACTTACGCTCTAAATTGATAAATTCAGTAAAATATCAATGTTGCTTCATTGGTATAATTAATATCGTTTTTTCTACAACAAATAACTACGATTTTTTATTACTCACCTTAAATCATAATTTCATAAGAATGCAATAAAATTTTTAGCGAACATTTTCTCAAATTGCATATTAATATAAGTATTCATGTCAATACAATTTTTTATTTCTTTCGAGTTTATTTTTTTTAATTTTTCGTTTTTTTGTGATGATTTAAGTGAGTATAAAAAAAACATTTACTGGAAATTTAGACGAAATATTTTTTTTACAAAAATTAAACATGTTTGGAGCTTGTTTCAATAGCTTAACAATTTTGTAAGATATTTCTTGCATTTGTCATGTCGTGTACACCGTATGTGTATTAGAGTGGATATTGATTGCTATTTAAAAAACCATATTTTTTTTTTTTACTTCAGCTGCGTAAAAATAACTTTTTGTATCAAAAAAAACTAATACGAAGACATTTATTTAAGCATTTAGATCTTTTTCGATGCTTTTTCTAATGATGTGAAAAAAATACTTATATTTATACTGAATTCCGAGGATGAAAAACCGTATTAACGTGTGTCATGCCAACGTAAATAAAGTTTATTTTACTATTGATTTATTTTTTCAAACACTTTATTGGTTTTTCAGATTTGTAGCAAATTTCTTTGTAAGAGTAAACATGTTTTATTGAATGTTTAATTGTAGAATCCTATAAAAATATTATTTTTAAATACCACTGGATCTAATGGCTGTAAAAACCTTAAAAANGTATTGAGTTTATTTTGGATATTATTTTCTTGTCAAACTATACAATTTTTAATTTTTAGCAATTAATTCGCAATATTCTGCATCCACAAACCTAATTCTTTTTTTATTTTATTTTCGTAAATTTTTTTGTAACTAATTTTATTATCTCTAAGAGTTTCTCAACTTTATAAAATATATTTATATCTTATTATGTAATCGATTATTGATTTTCTAACGTGTATACAATTAAAATTAAATAAAATAACGAATCTACAAATTAAATATTAATATAAATACAAAAACAATATTCCTTTTTTTACCAAAATCAGTAAAGAAAATCATGGGACAACAATGATTAGATTCTTACGCTTACGGGCACCCACGCACATGCGTATCTTTTTATTTCTTTTTGATCTTGGTACATTTTTTTAAAAAACACTTCATGATCTTCTAGATTTGAACTATAAAACATTCTGAAACAAATAAAAATAGCTTAAAAATCTATTTTTAAAAAATTATTGTGTAACTTAATAAATCGAATTTTTTGTTTTGTTTTTTTTAAGTATGTTTATCTATTTATGTTTGTATGTATAAATGCTTGCTCTAATTTTTTATATCGTAGCACTAAACAATAAAAAGTGCATTATATTTCCGTATACATAAGAAAAAAGAAGTGTGTATATAATTTCTTGTTACCATTATTTGGATATCTTGATTAGGCACATTTCTAATAAAACATGAATTTAATAGAACATTTTCTGATACCCCTGGGTTATAATAGAGTTATTGTTTTTTCTTTCTGATGGAAAGTTGTTTATAATTTTTGTATGACTGGCATTAATTCTAAAATAAAAAAATAAAAAAATATGAATTGAAAAGCAAGTTATATCTTGTGGTACACTGTATAAACCTTTAATCTCTTATAAGCCTATGAATTCATATTATGGTCCACATTACGTATCTACAACGATTATCCCTAATATATATGGCATTTGGTTCTCCCTCACGCGTGTGAAAGCATAAAGTAGTAGTACCTACGATACATGCTGTGGAGCCACGCACATGCGAACACAATTAAAAGTCAATCCAATTAAAAGTCTCGAGGTTTGCATTTGGCTTCGGGATGGTCTTGATACCCGCAGTTTCTATAGTTCGAACGGTGCGAGTAGACGTGAGGAAGAAATACGCGTTGCGATAGAAGCTTATTTTTACTCGTACTTGGTAAAAAAAAGGCCCGAAAATGATGGTCAGACGAATCCGCAAGTATCGCTCGGTAGAGGAGAATAAGCATCACATCAAAAGACGAAAGGCAAGCAATAAAATAAGTTAAGCTTTATCGGTTCTTCACAAGCTTTTATATTTGAGGCTCCGTCATACATTACATTGCTTGACTATAATTAAACTTTTGTTATTGGATTTTGTGTATTTTCGTAAATTGCTATAATATGTTCTTTTATACAAAAATCAATAAGAGCTAGATTAAAGTAAGTTTTTCAATCACATTTTCACAAGTTGCTCCAGTATTTCAGTTGTAAGGCTTCGAAATAAGATGGATGGTGGAGTAAGAGAATTAATCTTATACGAGATTTTATTTTGATTATTAGATAAACATATTTGAAATGGAAACTGTATTTTATCAATAAATAACGAATTATAAAAATGATTCATTTCGTGTATAAGTTTTGAATACAAAAAAGTGTTGTATAGAGTTAAAACTACCAGTATGTAATTATTTTAATATTTAATATTTTGTGCAAATAAAAAACTTAAAAGAGTACCTTAAAAATGTTTCGTAATAGTTTTGAATCTATTTTAGCATTGCATTAATTATTCTACATCAATAATGTTATTTCACTTTAAAATTAATAATTCATAATAATAAAGTACGGTATATTTTATCAGTGATTAAGCTTTAATGTTTTATTGGAGTAAACTCTTTTACTGTAGAGTCTCCGACAGAATTTACTTTTTTTAATCGTTCAAAAGTAATAAATATTAGATTTTTGTGTTTTCTTTACACGAATCTTTTTTTTGGCACGTTGTTTTCAAACCAGAAAAAAATATAATATATCTTCTCCCACAAAACCATAATTTTTACTCTTCAACTTAAAGCTTGATGATGGAGTTCTATTACATTTAGATGCCAGATTAAGATACCAACTATTAGTTGAGAAAATAACATTGAGTTCTTTAATCAGAAACTATTGATTGAATTTTAAACTGACGCTATAAAATTAAACTGGAAATTAATTTCATGAGCCTTTTTGTAGAAAGAGATTAATTAGATGCAACGTTTTTAAATAATGTATTTAATCGGTTTTTATTCTAAAAAGTCAGTAAAATTAATAATTATGTTTGAAAAATTTCAAGTGAATATTTAAAATAACTCAAGGGGATAAGACGATGAAATTTGTTGCTGTATCGTTATTTAGGTACTATATTCGTGCTTCTCTATTCTTCTCGTTAAGTTCAACGCAAGAATAAGGAATACGTTCAAAATAATTTACATTTACTTAATTTCACGCTAAATATTCGATGGTGTAAAATATTTGATACAAGCTCATTTTTAAAGAGAAAATTTTTTATAGCCACACGTAAAGCTACGTGTGTTCAGTCACAAAAAAAGAACTGGCACAGTGTGACCAATTCTACTACGTTGTTCTTTCGAATTATTGCTGTGTTATAAACTAGGCAACAGCTGCATAGGATACCGACTCTAAACTAAAGTCAAGATATGAGAATCAGTCGTAAACTAAAAGAAAATGTTATTCCAAATATTTATGTCTCAGAGCAAGATTCATCTGATAAAGCCACTGTTGCTTTGTATTTTTCAGAAAGAACTATTTGGGGGAGGAGCAGATGCTGCGCAGCCAGACAGCACAGGAAATCGAAAAATGTCGAACGGTTCGACTGGAAGCAACACAAAGCACAAATGGCTGAAGGCATTCAAAAGTCTGAAAACCACACCAGCCGCACCTCTGCCCACCGAAAAGTTAGTTTCTTGTTTTTTTTCTCTTACACTCTCGAGGTTTTTCAAGCGGCCCTATACTTTTGGATTGAAAGCTTCAAACGCTATTCCCAACCTCATTTAACTTTCTTCCAAACTGCACTTTAACTAGTAACAATTTCCTCTGATTGAGGCTTATGAAAGTACCAAACAATGGAGTAATGTAATACGTAACTTTGTAATGGTTGTATGGTCATTAAAAATCATCTCTCCCAGAGTAATGCAAAATTTGGATTTGAATCTTTTTGTTGTTACAGAATAATAATCATATACGCGGTTTTTGAACATTAAATAAAAGATTTTTCCGAAAACTTTACAAATTAAAGTTAGAATAACCAAACTGTGAATATAACTAACGCTCCACACACAATGCAACCATACGATACATACCATACGTATCATTTACCTGTAGTCAAAATAAAGTTGAAAAGAGTAACCTCTTGGAGCTCTGTGACGGTAATGTTACACACTAAACTAAACGTCATGCTTAGTTCTGCTACTGTATCTGGTTATGACATCAGGTTACTCATCTCAACTTGGTTTTTATCGTATGAGTTATGCATACACGAGAATCACATTTTTTTTTTTAACAAAGCATAATGTTTATATTACCTCTTGTAACAATAACAGCATAGAGCTACATATGTCTTTTTCTACACATTTTTCAAATTATGCGCAACAATATTAACACTCAACGTTTCTCACCAGGATGTGATTGTTACCATTTATCTATGGAGATTGTAATTTCACCATACCCGTCAATTCTTTGAATATAATAGTTTGCTTATTAAAAATCATCACTAATCAACGATTGACTAAACATGTTTGGTTTGTTATCGTATGCAACAGAGGAAAACAGGCGATGTACCATGCCGTTTCAACGGTAGTCGCCATGTCAAGGTAATCAAATTTTAACCTTAACCTTGTTGATAGCATGTGATTTTATTTTTATATCTTTACTGACGTATCTTCTTCTTCTTTCTTGTACATACAACTACTTTCAAACTGCTGAACTATACTGAAATCTACTCCATTCTACCGATCAACCTACGCTAGCCGGTAATGAAAATTTAATGTTTTTCGCTAAAGCGAGTGCTTTTATCATCCCATATGTATACAAGATGTTCCAAAAGACATTTCATCGTTATCATCGGAAACTTTTTATATTTTCTGTCAAAAACTTTGTTTACTAACCTTGTGACTGGAGTAATTCTCCCTGCAGAGAATCCACAATGTATTGGCTAGGCAATAAAAATATCTGATTGCAAACGAGTCTGGAACAGCGGAAAATCTGCAGCCTTAGCCGAATTTTACTGTACCACGAACGGTTCGATGGAAAAAAGTTGTTCGAAGAAGTAAAACTTTGCCGATCGATTTCCATATTAATAGCTTCGTTATTTGTGACTATTTGAAGAATACGGTTCTCAGCAGTTTTTTTTTTTTTTTTTTTATCAATACCAAACTATCCGTACGACTTTCAGGTCACTTTTGTAGAGGTTTTCAATATTTCGGCCAATGACAATGATCGGTTTGGAAACAAGTTCCTGTTTAACGTTGACTTAAAAAAAAAGACTTAAAACATCATGTTCAGAACCATAATACCCCATGACCCCGTAGCCTTGAAGGTTCTCTTATTCGTCTCGAGCGAGAAGAGACGATTTGGGATAATTCCGATCGAGTCACATGATCCATATTGTAAACATCCGCAGAAAGACCCTGGAGTCGGAGTCGGGAGGGCATCAGTGGCGCGAGTACACCTACCGCAAGATAACGCCCTGCGACGCGTGCGGGCAGGTACTGCGGGGCCATTCGCGCCAGGGCTTCCGCTGCCGGAACTGCAAGGCCAACGCCCACGCGGACTGCATCAACGCGGTCCAACCGGCCAACTGTCCCAGCCTCCAGCCCAAACGCACCGCTGGTATACCGCTGCTGCGCAGGCAGAAGAGCACTGCACCACCCGTCGACGACACCCCGACTTCGGACCAGAGTGAGTTTATATCGGCTTATATTACACATCAGCCTCAATGCCATTTATAAACTTACGTGTAGCTGGTTTACTTTTGAGCCGCTACGTTAGCGCGTCGTGTGACTTTTTTTTTATTTTCTCATCGTGGAACATCTTTAATCGCGTAGCAGCTTGGGAGTGCTTTGATGATTTTTCTTCAATCGAATAGTTTTGCTTTCGTCATTTATAAATTTATATGTGTGAAGTCCTTACGTTTGATTATCGGGTAATGGTTGTTATTTAATCTGGAAAATATAAAGAGATGCTACTTTGCGCCATTGTCGCCATCGCTGCGCTATGTGGCTACTTTCATCGCACTTTATTATACACGTATACGTATAATATTATATTTTAAGTACTGCATATCTATTTTTAATTTTAATAGCAAAATGTGATCACATATAGATTGGTGATGCGCCTTTTTCCAACAATTAGAGCCTTAGACATGGGGCAATTAGCTAATGCTCGATTGCTCGAATATAAGTAATAAAGCTCGCTCTGTCTTTAAGCAATTCAAGTAAATGTAGATGAAGCTCGGATAAAATATGTTTTTATATTTTTATTACTCTCATCCATTTTTTGATATGGCAATGCCTAATTTTTTTTTTTTTTTTTTTTTGACCTCCCAAATATTCCTTTTATTTTTGGCTTTTACTCTGCATCAAAAAGTGCTATGCCACGCGATTCAAAGGAATCTTGCTTCGTCAAGTAAAAAATTTACTATTGAATGATAAAGCTATTGTCATCTCTAGATTATGTTTGAAATGTTTTTTTACATCTTAGCCATGCGTATTCTAATGAGTCTGATCAGAAATTGACCACATGACCACATTTTAGTGACCTTTAATATTTTACGAAAACCGAGGACTTTCTGGACAAACACAAGTAACTTTTGACATTTTTGATAGTTTATAGAAAAACTTGAGCATGTTGCAAGTACCACTGATTTTGTATAAGTTGATATACCGACTTTTATTGAGTTCTAAAAAATTTTAACATTGCTAAGTGCAACCTTTATTGGCATTATGTTGGTGTAGAGCCTCCTAAACAAAAAATGTTTTATATTGAAAAACAACTTTTTACCAAAAGGATTAAACATAGTTAACAGTCCAGTTATGTACGTTACAAAGGACCTTATAAACTAAATTCTATTTAAAAAGAACATTATTATGTTTGAAATAAAGAGATGAAAGTACCTTTTTTCACATCATAACTAGCATGTGAGTAAACCATGAAAAACTCGATGTGGCATGTCACTTTACGATGCAAAACATCACCATCATTGACATAAATATGTGAAAAGTCGGTGAAAAAGGAAAAAAAAACGCTAAAGACGATTCGTGTGAATTAAGGTACAACGAGACAGAATATAAAAGAAAAAGAGAAGCGAGCAATTCCATTAAAAAAATTGTATGTGATGTTGAAAAAAAATGAAAAAAAAAAAATGAAAACTAGTAACGTGCCGGGTGCCGGCAGATGTGGACGCCATATACCAGGTATTGAAGCAGGCCGGCGAGATACGTGGAAGCTCAGCAAACTCACCACCTACGCCTCCCACAGCAGACCATCCTCCTTCCGGCGCAGCCGGGCCACCTTCATCAGTGAGGACAACCTCCACCCAACCCTGTTCCTCGTCCACCTCTGGTAAGACACCACACCAAATCACTCGCACCTTTATTATCTTTCTCTCCTCAACTCTCTTTCTCTTTTTCTTTCTGTCTACACTTGTATTTACCACCCATACTCTTCATGTATCCACAATCTGTGTGCTTTTGTTCGTACATTTGTGTCCTCCTTTCGCTATCCGTCTCTCTCTCTCTCTCTCTCTCTCTCTCTCTCTCTCTGATCTGTTTATCAGCTTAACGCCATGCGCAAATTCGATGACATCGTGCCGTAATTATCTTTGTCTATTTGTCCGCGTTGATACGCTCATTCTCAATGAATAAACCATCTCTGACATGTGTTGTTCTATGATCGAGTATCGAGTAGTTGCTGATTCAATAACTTGAGTGGAAGTGAAAACAACAGTAATATTTTTGGGCTTGTGATTGATTCACTGAACCATTAGTGGAAAGATAACTTTTTGCAAGTTTACCCATTATGCCAATTAGTATGATACGTATCATTATTTTAATCATATTGATAACAACAGTTTTTACAATGCTGAAAATATATCACAATGTGTTTAATGAAATGTTTTATATTACTCAAAAAAGATTTAAGCGCAGTGTTTTGATAAACTGTACGTACTTTCTCAGCATATTCACGTATACTTTATTCATTGGTAATTTCTTCAGTTTTAAAGAGTAGTACATTGATAAATACACCAATAATAGTGTGAAACATATATCCAACTGTTTACTATTTACTATCCTTAGATGGTTGGAAAGTCCCGAATTTTTCATTTCTTTTTGGCACTAGATAAGTATATATTATCTATGTAAATTTTAATTCCACGTTTTTTTATACATAACATGTGATATGCGACTCTCAGAAGAAGAATGCGTTTTAACTCACTGTTACGGTACGTCAATAACAAGTCGTAGTGACGGTAATTTGCTGTGTAAGTACTGTAAAATATAAATATGGATCTGATTGAACAGCACATGAGAAATGAATTCCTAATAGTTTCACAACCATACAAGTGTCTAGTTTGTAAGAGTATTCGCAAACCTCGTGAGTCATGTAACTGACGTTTTGCTAAAAAAAAAAAAAAAATGTTTTTAATCCGGATGAATGAGGTTTGCAGTTTTAGTAAATGCAAAACTCGTTACTCTATAGTACTTACAAAGAATGGAGATTCACTAACCTTAATATGTCTAGTTATCGAAACTTTGCATGTTTTGATTTCATGACCCGACCTTTATTTTACTTTTGTACCTTTTCATCGATTTACGAGCACATGGGGTAAGCGCGTTTGTTAACCTTAATTGTTTTCAGTGTGTCTCATGCATATCGTGTAAACTGGCTTTTGTAAACCTTGATGTTGTGGTGGTGCATGTTTATTCAACGCATTGAATTCATCTTAAGTTCATTGGTTTTTAAAAATTTTGTGGCTATTTCGCTAAAACTATATTTAGATACGTACATGCTTACCTCTGCCATGTAGTTAACAGACACTATTAATACATTTTTCTAATTTTTTGCTATTGGATTTTCTGATTTAGTTTCGATGTTCATTAACTCTGTTAATTTTTTTTTGGGTAGTTTGTATTGTGAATGTGAAAATAATCAGATATTACATTTCATGTATTAAATAATTTGGTGTAAATAGAGCAAGTGGGATTGCTTTAATCTTAGACAAATGATGACGTAGATTTATAAATGGAAGGAAAACTATTGCTCTTACATTAAAATTTTACTCTAAAAATATTTTAAACTCTGAATTGTCAGGCAGCCAAATGAATTCTAATTGTATTAACTGAATTTAACCGAATTCTAACCATTTCGGAGATGCAATAATATCATATAGACTATCAAATGACATTATAACCAAAATTTTGTAAATAATTTGTTGGGCTATAGAGTTCTCACAATGATCAATGACTTATCACCTAAGCTTACTAGAAAAGATATAAGCTTTACCTAAATTTTACTGGAATTACATGCTGATTGTAATTGAAACAAAAAGAAATCAGAACATAAATACACAAAATACATATTTGGAGTATTGAAAAATCTATTTCGAATATAGTCAATTAATTTAACGAGACGAAGTTTTGGAAAATGTACATTAAGAATTTCTTTGCAGTTCAAGTAATTGTAATAAGAAAAATTACTGACTTATCCCAGATTATCAGTTAAATATTATTCTCTCAAGTACTGAATGGTTAGTTAAGAAGTAAACTAAGGTTTCTTGACACCAGAAAGTAGTATAAAGACAACATCTTTGTTAACTATTCTTTTGAACATGGGAAAATTTGTATGCCAGGAAGTGTAGATTCGTGCAACAGAATGTATTGATAAATTTACATGACTGTTTGTTGAACAGTACTAAAATAATTTAAATAAATAATTCATTTGATCCAATTAGTCTGGATATAAAATTATTATCTTTTCTACAGTGGAAAGAGTTCCTTCAAAAATACGAGATAAATCTTGGTAATCGTGTGTATCGACACAACACTTAAATCAATATCCTTCGGAAAAAGGTTTCACGTGTAAGCACTGCAGCTCGCGTGTAATGGAAGATGAAATTAACTCATCAACTACGCAAAAGCATTATCGTCAGACCTGCATTGACAGTGGTGGTGACAATCTGTTACCCAGTCAATTAATCAAAGTCCGTACAGAGTTGACGTGCCAAATGAAAAGCCGATACGATGGCTATAGATGCCCCGTGTGTTGAGTTTGTGAAACACATCTTGGGTATAAATGGACTGTGTACGGAGAATTTCGTCTTTATCTCCTTCCTCGACTTATTGCGCCTTTGACTCGTTGAACCACGAACGTCTTCGACCCGCCACTGGTTGACTAGATGTCCTAATTGGATCGACTTAATTGTCATTCAACGTCAAGGCGCGTGACCCGTACACACTGCACGTGTACATTAGTGTGCGACTTTTATGCGAGTGGATGTGCGCGCGTGTACACGTATACAACAGTCTCCTTGCGCGGTGTGCCTATTCCAAACTCGAATGCAACACTTTAGGTGTAAGTAGAAGATTGGAGTCTTTGCCGAGTACACGGGCTTGCCATACTGTCCTCGTTAATGCTCACTCGACGGGTTGCACATACATATTGTTTGAATATGACATCTTATGAGTAATAATTAAGAGCAGAATTACGAACAATTATTGAGATTTCAAACAGCAGTTGTACGTACTCGATAACATCTTTAATTTTACTTTTTAATTTCCTAACTAGTAAAATGTAATTTCTTTGAAGAAAGTTTTAAATAAGTACGATGATGCAACATACATTTAAATTTTATGGCAGATTGGGTAATAATTTAATTTTATTATACATAAGTCATAATTTCTTTCAAAAATTTTTCAACTATAAAAAGATATCTACATAATTGGTACTTCTTATCAAAGATAATCTGTTTGATGGCCAAGTGGTTTCATACTTGTTATTGATTACTTTATGCGCTCATTTTTTTTTTTAAATTATTATTTATCCTTGATTTCCTATTTTATTGTAGCATAGTAGCAAAAGATCGTATCAGAATCCAAATGTCATGAGAATTGTTTTTTTTTATATCTTTAAATGATGTTTGGATGGATTTATCTATCAACAAGCACACGATTCTACTTTGTCATTGTTTGAAATAGTAAATGGTACTAAATGAAAAAACCGCTTTGAGCAATTCAATCGAATAAATGAGCACATGATCCAAAGTAAGACATGCTAAGACTCGAAGGAAAAGCGGAACATCTGGGTCTTGAATAAGGCATCCACGTGATGTACAAGAAGCGAGGGTACAACACTTACCTTTCACCCTTGGCCAGCTCAATATTTTATTTGGACGAAGTGGAGATGCTCGCGTGGGGGATCTCAAGCTTGACCTCGCACGTGAATTTTGCAAAACACCCACCAGGGATGGTAGGAAGTGCAGAGTATTGGGGAGTTGGGGGAACAGGGACGGTAGAACGGCAAAGGCGATCAGTCTCGTCCGACAGTTGGGTCGAGGCCACACTCACACTCGATTTTCTTCCGGCTTGATGGTACTCTCGCTTTTCGATAAATCAATTTTCATTGATAAGAGATTCGAGCTCCTCCTCATCTACGTATACTTTTCCGAACACAACTTTCCTCCTTTCTATAGTGGGCTAAAGTTAGTGTGCTCGTGGTTAGAAAGCCTAAAGGGGTATCAAGCCAATTTCCTTCCGTCGAGATATCTACTCTGGTATGAAAAGCTTTTCATCGATATTCATAGGATTCCTTGGCTTCGTTAACTGTAATCTCAATGAATAATCAATTGTTATGATACCGTCGTGTTGGAAAAAAGGAAAATATACAACATACAGATACCTTTACTCTTATTCATATACTCAAGCTATTAAGCTTTTCAACATCGACTTGTATCTTCAATCATTTAACTACAAACTTTTTTTCTTCAATTTATAACCTTGTTGAAGCCTAAGATTTTAAATGATAAAAAGCCTTGTCCAAAATACACTTATGTTTATGTAAAAGGCGAATCTTGTGAATGAAAATTGCCAATTCCACATTAGAAAAGTTCCTTTGGAATTTTACAAATTTTCCTTGAAATATAACAACTATCGATCGTTGTGTCATGTAATAATTTAAAAAATACTTATTTCTTGTACTAAAATAAACATCCTCAGTTATACACAAGAACACATAGTTGGACAACAAGTTTATTCAGTTTGATACGAATATCATGGCGTACGTCATTAGTACAATTATGATTTCTGTTGCAACGAAGACTATTCATCTTATCTCAGTGACCAATCTCCAAACCTAATTTGTATCTTTAGATTTTTAGACTTTGGCAGTGAGAAACATACTATAAAACTATTTAGTGCTTTTCATAATTTCATTCATTTATCGTGGTGTGTCACCAACATATAAAAACTAAAAAAATATGAACTGAAACAAGGGACAACTAATTCTCGTGATAAATATAAGAAACGATATTTGTGCTGTGGTTTGACACGTTTGGACAGCAAATAAATGGATAACGTGTGCTACTCATACCTTTTTGCCGTATGGTGCTCAGAGACAGGTATGGTGCTCTATCACTGTAATATTATGAAGTGTTGTGATTTGGTCAGTAGTAGTACAAGTCCATATTCATATTCACACGTAAACGTCTTGCATTCCCTACCTTTCTTATTAATGGGATTCCATACGTGTTCTCCCAGATGCTCAACAATTCTTTCACGCGTACTTGTAAAAAAGATTACTCGTGTCAAATGAACTGCTCATTGACAAATATTTTGGGACAAATCAACGTTTATTGACACGAAAATTTCACCCATTAACATCTAATGGTGGATTTTTTATCGTTACTCGGTCAAATCTTTATATCATTAAATTAGTATGAAAAACTATATATTTTTGAATATTACGTAAAAATTGTAAAAACGAAGTAATAAAGAATAAGTTGATAACTACATCTAAGAAAAAATTAAAAACAAATATACTTGAATAAAATGTAGTTCTAACGGGAAACATAGATATACAGCTGATACAATCGTAAGCTGTAACGGAATGTATTAAAATGATCTGAGTCGATTTTATAAAAAACAAATAACTTTTTGTGAACATACTTAATCGTCCCACACCATAGTTGTTACAGCTATCTTCTCATTAATAATATCAATAGATGGGTGTTAATAGTATAATATTCACCTAAACATGCTACGTGTAAAATGCAAGGATAGAAAAAACTTTCTTGAGAACAAATGTAAAAGCTCTCGGTTTCGAAGGAAGCTGCTTAACCAGAGTGCTAAAAAGTAATAATGAGTGCGGAGGATCAAAATAAGAATAAAAAAAAGAGGTGATGAGCTTTGAGAGGCATGCAAAGCAAGAAGCGGAAAAAGGAAGGTGCACGTATAACAGCGTGAATTGCAAGCGCTGCAATTTAGTCGACCCACGTCTTGGAGATAGGTGAGAGGGTAATTTGAGGATAGCTTACTTTCACCGTACTGGGACTATATCTGCAAATGTCGAGCGCTTCATGTCCCCTTTACGGATGAGGCAACTTTTTTTTTACCCTCAACACTTATTCGCAGTAATGAGAATGTCTGCACTTTTTAACACTCCTATCTGACTATGTATCTTTTTTTTTTTTTCTTCTTCTTCTTCTTTTCCACTTTATTCCGTTTTTTGTTTTCTTTTCGTGCTTTTTTCCTGTCTTTTGAGCATAAGTAGATATTTGCATGTGCCTTGCAATGTAGCTGAGCCATCTAACAGAAACATACTATTTGGCACTTATTGCTTGATTTTCAATTTGAAAACTTTTATAATGATTTTTGATTTATTATTGAATTAAAGATATACCCTATTTTATAACTCGAATGAAGCCACTGACAAAAAAAACTTTCTATACTCGTAGTCTTCATGAAAAACTTGATTATAGTGTTAATTCAGATGAATCCAATACAATGACTCTAACATTGATCACTTAAAACAACTACGTAACTTACTGAACTGAAACAGAAATTACGCAGAAAAATACGCAAACATGTTATGTAGTAAAATAAATTATTTATTTTTGATACTTTTAAAAACTATCGTTGTCACTTAAACTTACGGTATTATACTTTGAGATTTGAAAACAATTAATTTTCAGCACTTCTAACCACATACTAAAAATAATTTTTAAATTGTTTTTGTTCTCAAAAATTCGAAACTCGAAACTATTGAAGCGAAGAAAAAAAATTCTTTGTGAACACCATTGGGTTGTGGATAATTTCTACTTTTTATTTTTTCTATTCTCACCAAAAGCGCCACACAGCCCACAACGACGAAGGGAACGACTGAACCTACGCATGAAAAGCCTGAGTCTTGACTCACCCGAGGGCTCAGCCCACGTGCGCCACCGACCCAGGGACTATCACAATGCAGGTCCCCGAGAATCTACGCCTCCCCGACGTTCTGACAGTGGCAGTATCAACAGGCTATGTGAGCTTGAATTTATTTTCTAATTTTTATTATATTCCCACTTGATAAATTTTTTAAATAATTTTTGTAGAATTTTTATTTAAATTAATGTTCCAGATGTTTAAAAAATACAGTTATAACATGTGGCTTAGTGATTTTTTAAAATAATTTTTTTATGATTATACTTTTCCCGACTTTTCCCAATTCTAAACTGTTTAATTTATCCTAATCAACGATGCTCGTTATCGATGCTGATGAACGTTGGTCTTGATAAAAAAAAATTGTTATCGCTGGATATTGATATCGATTAGTTCTTACAAATAACTCGAGAAATTGTTCCTATTTTCATTAGGAAAAAAACATATAAGAACCAATAAAATCTTAATATAAAACTAAAATCTTCATTATTATTATGCGATGCTACTGAAATTACTTATATTTTTCTTCATAAATAAAGCGGCTCCGTGCAGCCCAGGTCAAAGTATACATGGCATCCACAAGCAACATCTACGCAATACCATACGCATGTCGAGCGTCGAACTACCTGATGACAACGAAAAGTCGTACTCGTCGGCTAGCACGTCACCGTGTCCGTCTCCACACATGAACAATCAAAACAATCTTAATCCAACTGGAAAGCGAGTTCTACCGCCTAACAACTTGTACGTCGTGCTGTACAACTTTGATTCCAGACATCGCGACGAACTCGATCTTAAGTAAGTTTTTATTGTAATATTTATTAATATATTTTTCTGTGGGTTATTTTTTATGAGGTGACGTTTTGATTCCGCGCAACCGTAGAGTCACTCAATTTAAGTGTTTTTATTTACTATGGATGCTGATTGGATGGTAGGCTAAATTTTAAGTTGTTTCTGAATTTACTGATTTAGTTTGGGCAAGTTTGGAATAAAAAAAAAAAGTAGCAAGCAATAAATTATTTGATAATTTATTCAACTTTGCAATATTGTGACGAATAATTAATATTCGTAGTATTTTAGAAAAAAACCTTGTCAATGGTTTAAAAAATACTAGCTATTAATGATATTAATTTGCTGTTGTTAAATTTTCAGAGCAGGATATAAAGTGACCGTCATCGATAAATCTGACAAGGATTGGTGGAAAGGTAAATGCTTGGGTGGACGCGCAGGCTTCTTCCCCAGTACCTATGTGATGCGAGTAGAGTCCGGTCAAAAGACTCTTCAAGTTACTCGCAATTTACAGTTAGCCGACCAAACAACGCTTTTACGAGATCAAGTAAGAAGTTTAACTTTGATCCCTTCAAAAATGCTTGTTATTACTCCTTTGTAAATTTTTTTACCAACAACACAGAGTCTGATTCTAAAGCCTGACGAGTCAAGCTTCTAACGACATTGATGATTGAAACTAACTCAAGTTTTCAGTACATCATATTGTCATGAATAATTTATTGAATTGTACACGGTTCTAAGTGCATGACAAGTGGTAAAACTGGGCCAATGAATTTTCAGATAGTCGTACAAGTGGGCGAAGAGGTCGACGGAGTGGCAATGGTGCGTTGTGCTGCGGACGTAATGTCCTCAGGACAGGCGGCCAAGGACGGCGAGGTTCGCTACAAGGAGACCCTCTGTCCACTTAAGTACCTCCAAGAGGTGTGACGGCAACCTCCAAAGGCCCATACTCCGGGCCGAGGTCGAACGCGAACTCCCGGTCCCGGGCCAAAGAAAGCCTCGGAGAAATACTACGACTGCTTGCAGTGCACCGAGCAATGCCGTCACGATCTTCTTCTCAAGACAAAGAGTAACAACATCAATAACAACTTCAACAAAAACAATAAAAATATAAACAAAGCTTACAGCAGAAAAAACGCGAGTGTCAAAAAAACGAGTGGTGGTCAAGCGAACGCTGCCAAACGTGGTGGGACTGCCAAAAACAACAACAACTACAACAACAGCAGCAGCAGCAGCAGCGGTGGTGGAAGGAACAATCATCAAAACAATCGTAACAATCAGAATCAAAATCAGAAAAACAGAGCACAGGCTGGTACGGGCAATAAAAACAAGGTTCAGAAGATCAACAATCTTCAAGTGGCCGCAAGCGTTGCTGGCAACAAGAGCAGCACTGCCACCCGTCGCCTTGAAGATTATTTGATGAACTTTCGAGATCCCTCGGTACTCCGATGGCTGTTCAAGAGCTCGAGCACTGGTGATCATAACGAGGCGAAACAGCGGTTGCCCTTGGACAAGAAGGAATCGAAGAAACCGATTACTCCCGCGCGAAAACGCTCGTCTCTGGCTAGACCGGTCAGAGTTCATGACGCTTGTTTGCAGGACCATGGCCCGTTTGTCGTTAACTGGAACGAGGATAAGAACTTGCAGAATCAACAGCAGCAGCAGGAACAGCAGCTGCAGTGTACAGATGACGAGGTACATTGTTTCTTTTGGTGTTTAATTCCAGTGTGGTCACCCTCTCCAACAAATTCCAATTTTTTTTAAATCATCTGAATGAATGTCTAATAAATATTTAATACGATCATGAAAATGAAATAAAAGAATTTTAAATGTTAAAAAGATGTTCCTTAAAAATGATTCCTTTTGATACTTCATTGAAAACTTGTCATATAAAAGTGATCGATGACTTTTGAATAAAGTTTTTAAGTATGCTCATTATTATCTACTCATCTTTTCAGTAAAAAATTGATTTTTTCAAATTTTTATGGTTTTCTTAAATTGACCAAAAAAATTAAAAGGACGAGTTTTAAAACATATCCTTGAAGGTTTTTTAACAGATCTTAAAATCAGCATACGTAAGTTGTTTTTCATTTACAGTTAACTGAATTATTTACTTACTAATTTATTTTTAGATCAGAGAAGAAAATTCTGAAAAGGACAAAAAAAGCTACGAAAAGCGCTTGAATCAGGGGATCGACGACCTCGTAGAGATTTGCGTTGACGAAGAAGTGACCACCTGGCCGATCCGACTGCGCCTCGGTGAATTCTTTGAACTAACGTTACCCAAGTGCCACAGACGCAAGCGCCGACGCAGACATCTCATGATGATAGCAACGATGCGGGAAAAAACAATGAAGTCGATGATGGAAGCCGGTGGCATCAGGGCCAGCAGGAAGAAAGGCGCGTTCAAGGACACCGAGCGTCTACTCAAGGTGCTGAGCATTAACAATGTGGACCAAGACAGCAGGTACAACGTTGCCCGCTGTATCGTCATGTAAAAAAACGGCAAAGCTAAAAAGCGACATTTTCTATGAACTGAAGGATAAAATCAATGGATCCAGAAACGTGGTCAGATGCTATAAGTCAGATTATTTTTTAGTCTGAATTGTTGTTTTTTTGAGTTCTTAAACGGTTGAAAAAATAAAAAAAATCTGAAAGATTGAAAACAGAGCAGATTTCTAATGAACTTTATTAATTAAGTTACGTTGCAAATGCTTAGTTAAAAATTTTTTTTTACTAGAAATTTGAAAAATTTCATTATTATTGTTATTAATTTTAAGACGTATGGGCTAAAGTTTTTGTATTTTAATACTTTCATTGAAATATTTGTACGTACATACCACAAAAATTTTTTAAATGCAGCTCTTAATGTAATTTAATAAGCTATAGTTATAAATTATTTTATATTTTTTTATATCATTAATTCTTATCACGTGTTACGTTTCCTTTTTTAATAATCTGAAAGTACAGTTATAATACATGAGATCAAAATTTCATTTGGACAGTTGATGTGACATCAGTTAAATTATTCTTGAATTTTTTTTACCACCAAATTTTTTTGATAATTATTTTTTATTCTTTGTTTAAACATATATTTACGTGTAAAAATGGTTTTAAAAATCAATTTTATATCAATACCGTGCCCAAATGATTTTTGTTCTCTCGTTAATCATAACATTTAAGCAATAAAAATAAATCTTAACTTTTAAATATAGCTTCAATTGTTAATTCATCCTGAATAAGAGATTCTTTAATCTAAATATATTACTTTTTTTATTAGAATTTCAAGTTTTACAAGTTTTATGGCAAAAACAGTGTTTGAAATGATAATATCACTGTAATTTAATTAAAATTAAATTTTTGATAATGTACAAAGACATGCATGGAATTTTTATTACTTCATACGTTTTTTTTTTCAATCTTATATTTTGTAAAATCTTATTTCTTATTCTATTTAAATTATATTGTACAACTAAATAAAGTGAAAATTCATTTTAAAAGCCAGTTTATTTGAAAGTGAAATGTAGTTACCAATGGCCTATAGCATTGATTTTTGAAAGTTTATTCAAATTTTAAACGTCATAAATTATTTTTTTATTTTTTTACTTAATATTTGTTTTTTACGAATATTCTTTTTTTTTCAAATTATCCATACCGTTAAAAAAAAACTGATAAAGTACCTACAATTTTTAAAAACATACAGTAATAAGATTTATCAGGAGCCTGCAATTCACTTTGAGAGGTTCTGACTATGAAATGTTATTTTTTAAATATAGATCTACTCAAAAAACATTTAATCAAGAAATCTGCTCTCTATCTCTCTATCTCAACTGTAGTAGAACTTTTATTAAATATAATTCATGTAACTAATGTTATTGAAAATCACGTATTGATAACTTAAAAAATTATTCCCTATAAATAGAAGCTGTTTATGCAATGTTGTTAAAAACAGGATTTAAAAAATATCTTGTATCAAGAGTATGTACACTTACGGAAAGGGTATGAAATAAACTATTAACTTATTAATTAATAGCTGAGTTTAATCGTTGTTCGTATAAATAAGAAAGTTTTACTCCACGTTATTATATATTTGAATTAATCAATAGAAATAAAATTACCTACCACCACGAGTCGTGTATATCAATATTCTACGTAGTAATTTAAAACTTTAATTTTAATATGCAGTCAAATTATTCTAGTAACAAGTTAATTTTTTTAATTCCTTAAATATTAATCCATCAAGTATATTACAGTCAGAATTATTATTTTTTATTTTAGAAGAAAAATTCTTAATAAATAAAAAAAATACTCTTACTAAATTATTAATCCTCGGAATGTTACGGTTAATTAATATTGATCATTTTGCAGTTACAGAATATGAATCAACTTTAAAATCAGTACTTTTTTATTCGTAACAACCGCCTCAATAGTTAATTTAATAATCCAGTATACATAAGAAACAGGTAATGAACTTGAGAGTAAACTTAACCAGTTATAGATACATTAAAAATGTTTAAACACCACGCTAACAATGAAACCGAAGGCCTAGTCTAAAAATCTGTTAGTTGTTATAAAGGAATGCACTATGCATATATTTAAAACAAAATATACAACCATCAACGTTTAATAAAAATTTTGAATGGAATAAATAAATTATTTAGGTGAGGTTAGTGAGATAATTGGGAAATTCAAATTGAACATCAAAATACAAAACCTGTATAATCTGGAATAAGAGTATATTTATCCGAGAAATAATTATATTGGGGTTAGGTAGTGTAACTTGATTTAATGTATAACTAATTGTTATATCATGAATAAATATTTTCCGTCGACATACTAAATATTAAATACAATAACTGTATAAAAAATAAACTTGTCAAATTCTATGCAGTGCACAAATAAAACATGGTGCTTACCGCTGACGAATAGATAAATAGTGTATTTTTGGATCTTCTCTGTAACTGTACATATTCAATTGGTAAACGATTTTTTAAAAATCGTAGATTTTTTGAATAATATAATGGTAGAAAGGTGATTATAGATTCCTTGGCATGAATAAGTGAAATTCGGTAAAAAGAGAAAAAAATTTTTTTAAGCACTACAATAAAACTGCCGACTTTTTAAGGTTTCATAACACACTATTGAGATAAATTTTACACAAAAAGTCTTAGACAGAAAATACAAAAAAGTAACTGTGACAACTTTTCAGAAAAAATCATGTATTACTAACAAAGGGATACTTTACTTAAAGATTGATTCACGGAGCTTATAATTAAGGCACGAAGTATGACCCATCAAAAAAAATTCTTATCCGATAGTTTCTTGTCTTCAATAATATGTTGAGCAACTGACGTATGTAAAATATAAAGAATTGTTGTTACATGATTCTGAATACCAATATCGAATGTTATAATTAAAACAAAACAAAAATTTTTTAATGATACCTGCTTACTGTGTAAATAAAAAAAAATAAAAACAATTCTTTTGAACTGATATTTTGCTTAATAGAAATGAATATAGAAGAGTGTATATTATAGAAAATAGAAAATAGTTTATCAAATTAGTATAAATCTGTTAAGACTAGATAAATGAGAAAATAAGGAGGGTCGCAGTAAATGTATAACTAAAAAGAAATATTTACGATGTTTTTAGTTTTGTTTTCAAACGATGCAGTGTAAAACACACTTTAAATGTTTTGCACCCTCTGAACGCCTTGTAATTTTCTAAGAATAAAATTTTTTTTTCTGTAAAAATACTTGCTCCAAAGTATTTTTAATGAACTGCATGCAAATGAATGAAGAAAGTTTTAGTATTTTTTTCTTTTATACATTTCAGTCTTTAAAAAATTGTAATATTAATCGATTGTATTATCACACTGCACGCAAAAGAAGCTTATCGTTACGATAGTTCATTGATTGTGAAAAAACTCTATTCATATTTTAATTACCGCCATTCGGTACTTACTTATGATTTATAACTGACTGGAAAGTAAAAAGTTAATACTCAAACAAAGTTTCAGCAAGAGAAGGTCCTGGATGGTAAGGTCATTTATGTTCTACTCTACTTAGGACTTTTCTCTACTTACTTCTAGTCTAAATTGTTTGCCATTTTATCTAAAAGAAGACAAAGAAAGTGACAAGGATAATTACCATAACAATTTTAGCATTCATGATTTTTCATAATCTGACGTTATAATAGTTGTAAATAATTATTAAATTTAAATCAGACGTTCCTTTAGAGATACTTGTTGCTAAAAGATTAGTTATGAAATTCCAGCAGTTGTACTTCTCGCAATTTTTTGAAATTTGCGTACAAACTGGTTAGGTACTAGAAAATGAAAGCTGCGCTAGAAATGCTATTCATCCATTGTACTTTTTGCCTCTGAGTTAGATGTCCTTCATGGGGTCCAAATTGCCGAACGTGCCCGAACGAACAAATGTACATCAAATAAGTATATGCTAACTCAGTACCTCAAAACCATGCAGCTAAAGTGTGCAAATGTACTACCTTATTGTAACAAAATAAATAAAATGAGTTTAATTTTTTTATTACAAACGGCAGTTTATACTTATGTTTTGTATATAATAGTTTAATGCGGAAACAAAAAAAGAATAAAAACAGTATGTAAGTCTCATTGTTGTTGGTTCTGAACAATCACATAATTATTTATTTCTTTGGATCCATTCTTTTAACATGAAATAACCAAATATTTTTCTGCTCTTATAATTTAATATACAGTTTATAAATGTAAAGACGAGTAATATTTATAAACCAAGTAAATTTATCGTAACAAAATTTTCAGGCGTTTTGGATAACCTTCTAAAAGTTATGTCAAGAAATATATGGTGTATTTATTTTGAATACGTGTACAAAAGCCGTCCTATTTATATAACCATTGCAATTGCCAATCATCTACACAGTGGATTTTCCCAAAATATATAATATACGCGCGTATTACAAACTGTAAATTGAAGCTCTCAAGAAAGTATTCTTAATTGAACCTCCTTGAATACACACCATTCTTGAAAAATTTACGAATGTTTGTTATTATTATATTCTTACGTAAAGCTAACAAAAGTGTTTAACTAAGTAACCTAATATTAGTAATAAAAGAACATGCGCCTGCATTACATGAGTATAGAGTTGTAAAAGTTGATGTATTATATGAAAACTCATCTTAGATGTTCGTGAATGTTTGTAAGTGTTTATAGTGTGCTTGTGAACGTTTGTTGTAAGTTAATAACAGTTTGTTTTATTGAAAGAAATACAAGTGTACCTATTTTACTTAAAGAAGGATGTTTATTTAATGAAGCTATAGTAATTGTTTGTTTTACGATGGAACATGTTAATAAATTGTTACGTATATTTATACGAATGCTAAGTAAATTTAGAAAAAAAACTATTGATTCACCTTTTTTATGTTAAGTATATATATTTTTTCTTAAATAAATACTGCGACTATAGAATAGTTCAATATTTATTTAACGACATACTTATTTGATAACTTTTCCCTTCAACATCAATCGTAACGTATCCTGAATTTTTGTAAAACAATAAGTGGTCTATCATCTTACTCCATGCGTCAACCGTCTCACTCCAGGAAAATATAAGATGATGAGATAGTTGATAAAATCACATTGGATTGCTGTACATTAAATTATTAATAATTACCATAAATAAGGTCATAGTAAAGTTATACGACTGAAAATAGAGTGATTACTACGATATATACTGTTAACATCAATAGGTTACATTATTTTAATATTTGGAAATATAATTGCGCACTTTATAAATATTTCTTCTTTGATTCATACTTCACAGTAGATAAAGGCTTATAATATTAAGCATCCTATTATTTGCTTCAATTACGTTGCATTGAATACAATTTTGTTGGTCTGGCCTTTGTTTGAATTCAGTGTAAGACTATTTTAGAATGATTAGGTTATATTTCACTAAGATTAATAAAAAAGTTATGTTACAACAAAATTAACAAGGTGCATGACATAAAATACAAACTTTGTGGTATGAGAAAAAATATTAACAAAATTTTGGGTACTAATTGCTAATTCATTTTGTATAATAATTGATCTTCATTGGTTGTCTGCGACTAAAATGACATCATAACATATAGATACTACCAATCTAATTTCTTTTTCTGTGGATTTATCGGTTATTTCAGAAAAATATTTGACGTGCTTATTGTAAAATCATGCGCATTCAGGCCTGTACCTTATGTGTTTTTTTAATACTAACATGCATGCTAAAATAATTTATTCGTAAGTGAGTGTAGGTCAATTTTTTTTCAAAGATCTTTAGCGGAACTTTTAAGAACCTTGAAAAGCTATAAGCTTCCAGAAACGTGTATCGTTTAAAGAATAAAAATGTTTTTACACGTGAACAACCTTAAGCTATTACTTGACAGAAAAATTAATTTTTCAATAAACAAAAAATTCCATAGTGTAAATAATCATCTGACCAATGCTGATAAGCTTATGGAATCATGTAAGACACGAATAGGGTTTGCTTGTCTGCTTCAAGTTTTATTCAAAGTTTTAATTTTTTAATTCTGTTTATTATTTATCATTGGTCTCGATAGAGAGTTATTACAATTATTATCTAAATGAAAGGGATGTTGTTTGAAAAAATNAACTTTTTTTTTCATAAAGTTTAATCTCGCAAAATATTAATATTTTTTTAATTTATTTTTCAGAAAATTTTACAGATAAGACTATATACATTATATACGACGATAGACCGATGGTTTATTTTTCTAAAAGAATGATGAAATAACAAGTTAAATAGTTTGTTCTTCTGCTATCTCAAACATCTGTTTTAACTATGGCTGTATAACTAGTTGCACACATACGCCAACGAATATTACCATCTTTTTCTATGAATATTTATCTCACTATCTTTAATTTTAGAAAACAGATGTAAAGCTTCCTCCAGATATCAGAATTCGTTCGCGTCAGCGCGCATCTGGCACACATAAATCGATGATAGTTCACATCATAATTATATTTTGTAATAAAATACTAGTACTTAATACAATTTATCTTATTAAATTTTTTAAAGAAAATACTGTAATTTTTTAATTTTTTTACTAGAAAAAGTTTTAAAATAACTGCAAGGAGTTGATGCATGTTCATATGACACAATTCTTGGAATCGAAAAACTTATATAACAGGCTTTTTTAGTATTTTTATCATTCTTTACAGCAGAAATTTTTATGTAATAGGGAAATATTCAGACTAATACGTACTATCGAGTGTGATTACTTGAGAAATTCACATGACTTCGTTTAAATCGCAAGTAATTAGAATATAAATAATTATAATAATTTTTATTTATTATTTCGTACATCAAAAAAATATTGACACGTAAGATAAATTTGTAAAAATTGTCGAAGGTTACAATTTAATTATTTTAAATATTTCCGTAACATTTATTATGATAAAGTTGTACGTGTATCTTTGAACATAATATAAATTGCTCGGAATATAAATATCTTCGAATCAGCTAAAGCTACAGTGCCTTCTTATGTCGAGTCATGTATAACATCAACATGATTTTTTAAGATGTTTCAAACTTAAATTCATACAGGAACGTGATTATGTAATGATATATTTAATTTTTCTCGATACAGCAAATAAGAAATAACATCAGTGATGATTAATCGAAAAACTTTATTACAGTTCTATCCGCTCCTTAAAATTTACAGCTTGAATTTAGCTCCCTTGACGATCGGGTACTTGTCGCCACTGCAAATTCCACGGAAATCATCAAGCGAGAGTTCATAAATAGCTACACCACCAAGACCCTTGGCTTTGGCATAAAGGGCCTTGTTGCCGGCTGTGTCGGGATCCTCGAAGCCAACCCAAATGCCGTCAGTTCCAGCCTTCTTGTCGTAGGCTTGGTAGGCATAGGCACCGTACTTTTTGGATGGATCATTGACTCGTCGGAGGCGACCGACCGAGCTCTCGGTCAACCGCGAGCAGACCTCGGCGTAAGAGAGCAAGCCGGGGATGGCAGTGTGAGGTCCCTCGGCCCCTGGGCCATCAGCCGTCACTGGGGGTACTCCGGCGATCTCACTGTCTTCAGTTAGTCTCCAGGTTCGGGCGAACGTAGGTATGCCAATGACAATTTTTGAGCCGGGCGTACCGTTTTCTGACCAGTACCTTAGAATATGAGGAATTTTTCATATTTTTCTAGTTTTTTCAACATTTATTAGTGTCATTATTGTTGTCTGAGAAAAAAAATCCATAGTAAATCATTATGTTTGAAAAATACCAAGGATAACATTCTCACGAAGTTATGAATAACTACTATACGTCACAGTAATGTAGCACAAACTATGAATTCATGTACTGAAACTCTAGGTATATGTATATTGTAATAACATATTATTTCGCTCCAGGGCATCATTTTTTTCTATCATCCTCTACTACTAAATCCACCTTAAAAATTTATGGATACAATCTTTCCAATACGTGGAGTGAGACAATCTCATTTGAAGTAAACACAATTTAAGTTTAAGAGTAAGTAACTGATATTAGTTGTTTTTAATAATAAATACCTGGTCTGAGCATCCACATTATCACTTGGTTCCCGACCATAACTCTCATAAATGGGTGCAGGATAATCAGCTTTTTTGGGCGAACGTTCTGGATTAGTTTCATCAAAAGCAAAAAGATGAATGGCATCAAGATTGGATACTATATTCCTTGCATCATAGTAAACTGAAAAAATTATTATTTTCGGTCACTAATATAAATAATTTCGAATAAATTATATCATTTGATCAGAATTAGTTCCTAGATGTAAGGTTATTGTAATCAGAGACATTGAACAAAAAATCGATTGAAAAATAACTTACTGCTGGAGTTGATGTGAGGTAAGACCGTGAGAGTAAGAGCTTTATTTTTGGTGCGAAGTTGAGTCTTCAGATCACGAACCAGAATAGTGAAGCCGTCACGGTGTTCCTTTTCCTTTTCGTCCTTGAACTTGCCATAGTTTATAATTTTCTTGAAACCATGCCAAAGCGAGCTGAAGGTACCGCGGTTCTTCTTCACTTTGACGGCAGGGAATTGCCAGGCAAGATCGACACCATCAAATTCGTAATCAGCGAGGAAGCTGATCACCGAGTGAATGAACTTGTTTCGAGCTTCGGATGTTTCTGTCTGCACAGTAGTAAAAAAATGGTTAATCGAAATTATGAACCCACATAATTGTATTCAATGAGCGATTCTAGTGAAAATTTGTAACGTGGTAATTGGATACTAAGCACATTTTTTTTTTTTAATTGAAGTTAATAATGCCAAGGAACTTTTGTATGGAAGTTTCCTTAGAATCGGTCAAAACGCATATATTTTTTAACAAAAAGGAAATTTTTATGAAAGCAGTAATTAGTAAAAGAAATAACTATAGAAACCTACCACGGTGAGGTACTTGTGAGTTTCTTCGTAAGGATCAGCATTGCCACCGATGGAAAGATAGACCTTAAGCTCAGGGTACTCACGCTTGAGGTGAGTTACTTGGCGGTAGAGGCCATAGCCGGCACCGGTATCAAGGTTTGGGTTCAGAGACGATACCTCGAACGTATCGGGTTTGATGCCAGCGAAGCCGTAGATAAGATGGGTGCACAGTGACAAAGCTGGTTTAAGGTCATCTACTTTCAACTTACCAGGACCTGCAGAATTGTCACGAGTTAGTTTTAAATCTGGTTTTAGAGGAATGAACCTCCTTCGAGGGAGTTACGAATGCATATCATAGCCAAAGATTTTAAGAACAGAAGATCTATTGGTACTAAAATTCTTAAACTTGTTTAAAATTTATATAAGAAACTTTTTTTTTCATAAAGTTTAATCTCGCAAAATATTAATATTTTTTTAATTTATTTTTCAGAAAATTTTACAGATAAGACTATATACATTATATACGACGATAGACCGATGGTTTATTTTTCTAAAAGAATGATGAAATAACAAGTTAAATAGTTTGTTCTTCTGCTATCTCAAACATCTGTTTTAACTATGGCTGTATAACTAGTTGCACACATACGCCAACGAATATTACCATCTTTTTCTATGAATATTTATCTCACTATCTTTAATTTTAGAAAACAGATGTAAAGCTTCCTCCAGATATCAGAATTCGTTCGCGTCAGCGCGCATCTGGCACACATAAATCGATGATAGTTCACATCATAATTATATTTTGTAATAAAATACTAGTACTTAATACAATTTATCTTATTAAATTTTTTAAAGAAAATACTGTAATTTTTTAATTTTTTTACTAGAAAAAGTTTTAAAATAACTGCAAGGAGTTGATGCATGTTCATATGACACAATTCTTGGAATCGAAAAACTTATATAACAGGCTTTTTTAGTATTTTTATCATTCTTTACAGCAGAAATTTTTATGTAATAGGGAAATATTCAGACTAATACGTACTATCGAGTGTGATTACTTGAGAAATTCACATGACTTCGTTTAAATCGCAAGTAATTAGAATATAAATAATTATAATAATTTTTCTATGCGACATTTATTCAAATTTGAAAACGAATATGGCTCATCTCTAAAAAATCTTACTGAAAATAAAGTTAAGTTTTCGGATATTTATGTGTTATGTATAAAAATGTATGCTATATTTGTAAAAGTAAACGAAAATCTCAGCAGTAATAAACTAAGGCTGAAATCTCTCTGCATTTTAATACGATTTGATTAAAATGGTGTACTAAGTAAAATTTCAAAGTACTGTATGCTCACAGACATCTCACTAACACAAGTAAGATTTTTAATATATTGTGTTACCTTTTTAATTGAGATTCATGTACGTAAATCCATAAAAGAATGACTTAACGCAATCATTTGCATTTTAAAAAACATCTTTTATTTAAACTATGAACAAAGTAGATTTTAGATATAAGTTTCTTAGTTTTTCAGTAAAAATTAGGTGAATTTTTGAATTGTTTTAAAGAATTGTTGTAAAATTTTTGAATTAGAAGGATATAAAGCTTAAAGTTTGTACTGCGGCTATTTACTTCTGTTTATTTATTTATTTTTATCTTTGTTTTCTAATACCGTTATAGCTGGATATTTTGCATTAGTAAGTCCATTTTTATTTTCTAAATTATTGGTGAAAAACCAATTCATGCTTAAAATTTGATAAAATTCGAAAATGCTTCTAATTTTTTTTCTTATACAGGAAAACATTTGGTTTCAAAGTACCGAATGCAGTTAATGATAAAAAAAATTTTTTTAACTTGATGTAATCGTACATAGTTAATGTTTACAAAAAAGCAGAAAACTTTTTAGAACTACATTAAAAGTACGCAAGTCTTATTATATTTCACCACATTATACGAGAATAAAATTGAGTAGAATAAGAAGCTGTAAACGAACAAATGACTCACCTGAGCGCTCGAAGGACGTTGAATTCCAGTAGCAAACTACCTTGGAGTGCTCATGAAGATCAGCACTGAATGCAAAATTTGCGCAAAACAGTAGAACTACGGCTGCTGCCGAAGACATGAGCGGCCTCATTTTGACAGTCTGGTAATACATGCAAGAAAATTAGCACCATTCACTTATTTCTCCTTCAATATATATGATAAAAATTACGTTTAACAATAATATCATTTCACTGATAAAGATTACAATCGTTTACAACAGAAATCTACTTCATGTTTCAATTGCCTTTGGACAATTTATAGTTGTTTATAAAAAAAATTTTTATTTTTTTATTTTATCACAATTACTAATTTTTTAAATGTTTGAAATAATTAAGGAAAAAAAGGTATATATGGTATTAGACATGAGCATCTTTCAATGAAAACAGCTTGGCTTTCGTGAAGATAAAAAAATTAAACAGCAATCCTAATAGAAATAAAAGCGTAGGGTATATTATAATGAAAATATGATACGTGTTGTGAGAAGTGGCACAAAAATACATAAGTTGAGAGATCACTACTTACCTACTTGCCCGACAGTATCGGACTGTTTGAGCCGGAGATCCCGCTCAGACTTTGATACTCTTTCTATCATGCGGTACGAGTGGGGCAGTGGAAATGGTTTGCAAGCATTATGTCATACTTCTCGTATCGTCTTTATTTTCCTCTTCTCCTTCTCTTGCTTCGTAGCCTCTCTCTGTACCTTTTTTTCCTATAATCTTGTTTTGTTTTGCTCTACATGGCGTTTTCTCTTTATCTCTTTGAAGACAACTTTCGATTTTTTTATCTAGAAACTTGTTATTCTTAGCTGCTGTCAACTATTATGTCATTTCAAGACTCAAGTATTATAGAGTAGAATTATTAAAAATAATTGAAATTGATATTTTACCCAATTTACAGGTTGTGTTCAATTTTATATCATAAAAATAAATGGTATCATGCGTTAGTCTCCTGCCTGAAGTGACATTTTTGGTAAATATCAAAAAAGTTTTATGTAATAATATAAAAAATATCATCATTATAAATTGTAAATTTAAGTAATTTTTCATATTACCGCAAAATTGAGGTCAAAACTTTCCGTAGAAAAATAGTCTTTATTGGTCATATGACTTCAACGTACGTTACATCCGGGTAAGTAAAACATGTGAGTAACATTTTTCGAAGACAATTGCCAAAGTATGGCAAAAATGTTGCTGAGGAGCACTTTTTTACACGTTATTACCAACTTTTTTCGAGTAACATATAGTTTAGTCAATACGTTGGTCCAATTTTAGTGACAACTGAGCTATACCTTAATAATAGTTAGTTCTTTGTTTATGTTCTAATGAATAAAAAAATTTTTTTATAAAACAATATTATTACATTGCATTTAGAAACTGAAACTGTCAATAAAAATTTCAAAACTTACGTTCAAATTTTTTTTGTGTCTATTCTTTGTGTTGTAAAATTAAAATAAGTCTTTATAAAAAAAAACTATAACTTGAATTCACGACTTTCAACTTCTTAATATGTCTATATACGTTAGGAGTCTATTGCGCCACTACTGATAAGTTTAACGTACAACGATACAACTCATTTTTTTTCTAAGACCAAATTACAGAAGAGGTTGATAACCAAGCAGCTGTCGAGATGCCGAGTAGTTGGAATGGGTTCTCGCACAAGTTGACAAATCGCTAATTTTCTTTACAAGGTAATTGTCAGCATGATATTTGGGCCAAGCTCTTGGAGAGATGAGATCAGAGCCATTAAAGTATCGGCTCAGATGAACTAATCACGAGTCCCATTGAGTCGTGATGCTTCCAACAGAGTTTTTTATGATTCTCATGGTTATACAAAGGACAAAAGATCTTTGAAATGACGGAAGTTTTGATTACGTTTTGTACTTTTTTATGTCTACATAAAGACCTGATGTTTCTTGGAGAGATCGTACATTGTTAGCAAAATAAATTATCGTTCCTTGTGTACTCTTCGCTTGTGTGTCATCTGACGATCGTTTTCGTCCGTACTCTTGAAATTCAAATTCATAAGCTAACCAATATATCTTTTTCTCACTTATTTTTCCTCGTATAATTACTGGCTGCCTTTAAGATTTTATAGATTATGTATAAAAAATTTTCTAATCTCAATACAATAAGATTAATTTTTATTACCATTTTATTTTAAAAATTTTATCATCTAAAAAAATGTATTGAATACTTGGGAAACCTTGTTTCACGACATTTTGATTAAGAAGAAATATTTACTTAAGCAAATGTACATATGTGAGCACTGAGCACTAGATAACCTATCGACATAAAGTTCAAGCCAAGAAAAAGTTTTTCTGTCAGTAATCATTTTATTTTGTGTATGTATGCTCTGCATACATGTTTCATACGAAGTGAAAACCCCATTGCCGATAAACAACATTTCTTGAAACTAGTATGCTGATAACACATTTTCATAGGTAGTTATACAGTTATACAGTTACTTCATAAACTCTAAAATACGTTTAGTACAGATACACATAGATACATACACTTTTTAAATACATGCTAACTCGACTAAAACATTATATTTGAGACAGTTATCAAATCAAGAAATTAAATTACTTATACCATACGAAATAAAAATTTGTTTTTATAAAATATCTCTTAAAAATCTAAATTTAATTTTGTACACAACTTATTTTTTCATTCTTAAGATACATTGTTCAAAAAGTAGTTTTTTTGACGTTGAAGCTTTTCGCAATATCAACTTAGCTATTTTTTAATTATTAATACTTTCGTTTGAAGCTTCATAAAACCTCAGTTATATATTTGTTATATGATTTATTATCTTATAGTTTTGTAGTTTTTCTTGTTTTAACGAAAAAAAGAAATAGGACATGATAATCTTCTTGTCATGCCTATTTTTCTTCAAGAGAATAAATTAGATTATACTTAATGAATGTTTAAGTCAATCTATAATAAAAATACATACAATGTTATTTTATCTGTTTATTCGTAAATTAACAAAGTAACAGTATACTGTACAAGTAAACTACGCTTACTGTAATTTTAAAAAACTTAACAGCCATACAATCATACTAGTTTAATATAGCATCATTGGTAATTCTATTGGTTGGGCCATAGATTCCTTTTTCACCGTATGTAAGTATCTGGCTTTAAAATTACGATGAATCACTTTCAGAGTAATTACAATAAACATAAGGGCTACCACAACTAGTATAGAACCTGGAAATGTTTGCATTATTAATTAATTACAACAAAACTTTTTTTACTTTAATCTTTAATTATACTAACCGATCAACCAATAAGATATTTCATTAAAAGAAATGGACGATATTCCTTTGTTTTGCTGAGCTGAATAAACATAAGCAATATTAAAGTTAAAATTACTAAACAAATCTTACGACAATAAGGTTTCAATATAATTTACCATGCTCCCAGGATTCGTTTGAAATTTTTATTTGTTGCTTACTATCTAGATAAATAATATTCAGACTCCCAAACTGGCCATGACCACACTGGCTCTTATTTTGAAGCCTATCGCCAATTAAGTGAGAAGAAGAAGAAGAAGAAGTCTTCAGATTTTGGACCTGGACTTGAATGTAGACGTCCTTGTAAATGTAGCCGTAGAGATTTGAGACGTTGCAGCCATAGTTACCAGTATCATTAATCGACAAATTTTTTATCATGACAGAGTTAAGCGTCACATTCATCCTTTCATTGTAATCTACCTTTGAAATGGGCTTGCCATTGTGGATCCACTCGATCAAGGGAGCAGGTGCTCCTCCTGCCTCGCACTTCAACTCAACTGTCTCATTTTCAAAAGCATTTATGATCTCTGGCTCGATAATGAAATAGGGTTTTGACTTGACTTCCAGATCAATGTAGCGGAGAACATCACCACCTATGCCATTGGATACTTTGCACTCGTATGTGCCACTATCGTTAAAATTCACGTTAGTGATTGTGAGAAATTTACTAGTGTTTGCGTAACTCATTCGATCGTTAGGCTGTATTCTAAGTCCGTTCCTGTACCAGTGCACATAAGGTACAGGGAAACCACTAAATATGCAAAACAACGTAATTGCCTCCCCAAGAAGTACGGTATTATAGCTATGGCTGACGTACTGCTCCATTGGCGCACGGTTTTTTGAACTTACTTTCAAGTCAACGATAAGATAAGTAGAGTTGCTGGTTCTGTATTCTGTAAGAATGTCTGAATAGATGAGGCACTTGTAACAAGAGGCATCATCCATCTTGACATAGCTGAACCACAGGTTACCTTCAGGACCAAGGGTTATGCGATGATTGTCACGTAAGATTTCGTTACTGTCACTAGGCTCACAAGTGTTGTGCTTCAACCAGAAAAATTCGGCTTTGGGTGTTGCATGAGGCACATTACACTTGAGGTGCAGATCATCGCCCTCTTTTACCCTCATTGTTCTTGTGCCCTGATCTTTGAACGAGCCTAGTTCTGATTTCCGCACAAATACTGAGTTCGAGGTGGCAGTACCAAACTTGTTACGTGCAAAACATTGATATTGACCAACATCCTCGTCTTGAGGTTTGGAGATGATGAGGGTACCAGAACTGGGCTGCATGGAGATACGGTCTTCATTGTCCTGCCATTCCAAATCCTTTTGATTTTTTGTCCATTTGAATCTGCAAACCATAAGTACTGAAGTACTCTTTCATTATCATTTTTTTATTCAAGATTGTTTCATTAAAAAATATAGCATCAAGAATTAAACAATTACTTTAAGTAATATTTCATTACAAGCTGAATATTTTTTTAAGTAAAAATTGCAGTATTGACAAGATGCTCACTCTGTCTCAGTGAGACGAGACCAAGATAAGACCGAGATTTCTAGTAAGTAAATATTATAACGAGCTTTTCAAATTCTTTCCTGCAGGAACTTTCTTAACTTACATAAGTGGGTCATTCTATTAAAGACAGAATGTTTCCAAGGCTAAAATGGACAATAACTAAAAAGGGGTTTTGAATTATTTAAACATTTTTATTGTATTATTAGTAACTCAAAACAAGTCATCATTCTTCAGTTCCACTAAAAAAGAATTTTCGAATACTAACGTAATGGATATGAAAATTAAACTGTACCTTTGTATTTATATAATGTATATAAGCTGTACTATAATCCATATAAGCTGTACTATAATCCATCATCTTATACGTTGATAACCGAAGACTTTAGTAAGATATCATTCATTCTTTAGAGTTACGGGCACTTAATTTTTATTTTGGAGGGACCAACCTTACGATTTCGCAAGTCTGTGACAATGGTTTATCGTGAGGGAAAAATAGAAAAAAAATTCTGCAATACACTGCACTTTTAAAGAATACAAAACGTTTAAAGGCCCTGGCTCATTAAGTATGCCAAAATTCTCCCCACACTGATTTCGATTAGACAAAGACCACTTGGTAGATAATACAAAAGTACTTTTTTTCTTAGTCACAGAATCCTAACCAAATCGCGTAGGTATGAGATTAGACTTCGTTATCTTTTCTGGAATGACTTAGCAAGTTTTTATTAAAAATAATTTTAAAAATATGATTACTGATATTATTACTACGTACACACTAAAATTTTTTTCTATTAAATATAACC